GTTTGTCCGAAGTCGGAAAAATTAGGGTTCAGGAGTGAAGAAACCGCCGAAACTGTTAACGAAAGCGGTGTCGTTCGTCGTAGACTCAGAGAGAGGAATTGAGGAATGTAACCTGAAGGCTGAAGCACGAATGTGGAGACGACGGAGACGACGGAGAAGGAGGAGGAAGAAGCAAAGACCTCGCCGGAATCAAAAAGCCTCAAAGTTTTTTTTTTAACGTACAATGAAAAGTGGAGGAGGAGGCTGAGTATATAAACAAGGAGTTTCTGCGTTGTATTCAAGTCAATGTAGCGTCTCTCCGACGCTCGGTTTGTTAACCGGGATTGATTTGGCCGGTTCGACCGGCTCACGTTGTATTCAAGTTAATTTAGCGTCTTTCAAACGCTCGGTTTGTAAACTGGGATTGATTGGACCGACTCGAATTATGGTTCATTTCCTCCCGGTTCGCCCGCGTGAATTTATTTTTTTCGGTTTCTTTAATTGTTTTACGATTTTTTACTTTTCTTTTTCCAATTTTATTTCTTTTTTTGGCCTCAACTTTTTTATCCTTTATTAGTAGATGATTTTTGGGGTCAACTTTTATCCTTTTTGATTAAATACGACATTTAACCAAAAATGAATAACCAAAAATGGTTTCAGTTAACTTTTTTGTTGTTGTTGTTTATCTTCTTTTCTTTTGTTCCTCAAGAACACAAAATCTAAGAGATTTTTCGGTTTGAAGAAGAACTCAATAATGGAAGCATGAATATATAAACAATACATCATTCCGAAACATGATCATACCTCGGAGATTGCCTACGACTCTGTACAGTGGCCAATATTTCGACTAGTGCTCATCATAAATATCATAACTGAATGAGAAATCACACACAACAGTAGAATTTAATCATGTATTTGGAAAACTGTTTTCTGATATCTGATGATGTATTGGTAAAAATATACATACTAGTACTATATTTTCTCCTAATCATACCATTCATTTAAAAGCGGTATAAGTTTCAATTTTCTCTTACCGGGTTTTAGGGGATCGTTTAGAGCAATGATCTTGACCGGGGCTCTAGGGAGGAGCAATGCGAAGGGCTTTCATATGTTTCCTCTCTACAAGAAGAATAAGGCATTTGAGTTTCGATCCCTCGACTCTAGTTCAGTCTTTTTTCTTGTTTAGGCTTCGTTTAGTGTAGTGAAAACTTCTTCGTCACTAAGTTTCTGTTGTCTCTTTACAGAGCCGGCTCTGAAGATATTAAGACCACAAGCCCATTTTTTTTTGGCCTACTATACATTACTTTTTTTGAAAAAGACTTGAAAAACAGAAAAAAAAATGAACTAGGGATTCGATCCCTTGACCCTTGGAAGAGTAACTCTTAGTCTTAACCAGTAGAACCAATGAAACTTTCAGAAAAATTTGGCCGAATATCAACTATATAATTTGGAGGCCACAAGCAGATGCTTCATCTGCCTGTGTCAAGGGCCGGCTCTGTCTCTTTATAAGTTTTAGTTTCTTTGGTTTTGGCTTTTCTATTTGTGGATTTTTGCCTCTCTAACTAGTTTTGGATTCGGTCTCTTTCTTTTGGGATTAGTTTTCCAAAGATTTTACCACATTCCGCCGATCTTTTATAATTCTTTTCAAAACTTATTTTTTTGTGCTATTATATACCATATTTTTTTTTGACTTTTCAGCATGCTTGTGTTTTTCCGGTGTCAAATGGGTCAGCCTATATCTATTTGGGCCGGCCCGCAATGGTCACTTTTTATTTTTGGAGCGCAACGGACCAACTGTTAGGAACACAAGCGAAAAAGTAATATCTAGACTTGTCTCTCTAAATCCAAAGATTAGCAGACTAACATGCATGCTTAAATTATTTATTTTTAAAAGAATTGAAATTAATCTTTAGAAATTTAAATTAACAATTTTTAAATTTAAAATAGCTTTAATATTACTCTTTTTTTGTAAATGTTATAATTTTTATACATTACGTTTTTTTAATTTTATTTTATCACATATTTCATATATTTTATCACATTAAATTTCCTTATTAAATTTCTACATATTTATTCATTTTTGGTTAAATGTCGTATTTAATCAAAAAGGATAAAAGTTGACCCCAAAAATCATCTACTAATAAAGGATAAAAAAGTTGAGGCCAAAAAAAGAAATAAAATTGGAAAAAGAAAAGTAAAAAATCGTAAAACAATTAAAGAAACCGAAAAAAATAAATTCACGCGGGCGAACCGGGAGGAAATGAACCATAATTCGAGTCGGTCCAATCAATCCCAGTTTACAAACCGAGCGTTTGAAAGACGCTAAATTAACTTGAATACAACGTGAGCCGGTCGAACCGGCCAAATCAATTCCGGTTAACAAACCGAGCGTCGGAGAGACGCTACATTGACTTGAATACAACGCAGAAACTCCTTGTTTATATACTCAGCCTCCTCCTCCACTTTTCATTGTACGTTAAAAAAAAAACTTTGAGGCTTTTTGATTCCGGCGAGGTCTTTGCTTCTTCCTCCTCCTTCTCCGTCGTCTCCGTCGTCTCCACATTCGTGCTTCAGCCTTCAGGTTACATTCCTCAATTCCTCTCTCTGAGTCTACGACGAACGACACCGCTTTCGTTAACAGTTTCGGCGGTTTCTTCACTCCTGAACCCTAATTTTTCCGACTTCGGACAAACGAGTACGGAAATTTCCGGTTCTTTATCTTGTGTGACATTCGTGAGACGTAGTTTTAGGTTAGTTAGATTGATTTCCATCGGATTCATAGATACTATTTGTTGAAGTTTATGTTATCGAATAGTGTTGGTTTTGATTTTTCGTACTCTGTTTTCGAATTTGATGATTCCTAGTTATGAATTACACGACTTGTGATGTTGCCTTGTTCAATGTCAATCCGATTACGAGTAATTGTGTTGTTAATTGGTGTATTCATGACTATCTTTATCTCTGTTTTGGTTTCAAAATCGTTTTCTTCACGCATGAACCAATTTAATTGGCTGTATCATGTTCATGATTTGGAACTTGATAACTTCCATTATGGTGTTTGCTAATGTTCATGTTTTCTTTTTTGTTGTACCAGGCTAGAAGAAACAATTCCTTTGGCTGAGGTCAGAGTCGTGAATATATAGACGAAGATGTTTGGTTCTTCTAATAATCGTAAGTGATTTTTGTACCTTATTGTTTATTTACTATGGGTTTTGTAGTGCCCTGTTTAGTTTGCACGGATCTTTCCTTTGCTACTTAATCAAATTTGGATATTTGTAGCTTTTGCAATGCTGACATGACCCGTTTAATATGTTTTACAGCTTTTGGACAGTCATCTAACAGCAGTCCATTTGGGACCCAAACTCAATCTTTGTTTGGGCAGACCAATAACCCGAGTAATAATCCTTTTGCTCCGAAACCCTTTGGTACTTCTACTCCTTTTGGCGCACAGACAGGGAGTTCTATGTTTGGGGGCACTTCAACCGGTGTGTTTGGTGCACCTCAAACTTCTTCACCTTTTGGTGCTTCACCACAAGCGTTTGGGAGCTCTACTCCGGCCTTTGGAGCATCTTCTGCTCCTGCATTTGGTAGTTCAACGTCACCTTTTGGTGGTAAGTACCTTATATGTATTTTACTGCATTAACTATACCAGGCCTGGAATAAACTATATGTCTTCATATTATGGGATAGATACATTGATAAGCCTGATGGAATAGGATATCCTTTCTCTCAGTAGGACTTAGATTGTAAAAATACACTTTTGCTACTCGTTTCTGATTTCTTCAAGCGTTTGATTACCTGTTAGTTTCAGGGTAGCAATATCCAAGTTTTATGGTGTTCATGAGATTTGTTACTACTTCCAAAATTAGTAGTCTTTTGGGTTTTCATCGTGACAATACTAGCTCCTGATCTGGTCTAGTTTGTTTGTTTTCTTTAGCCTACAGGGTCTCATTAGTCTTTTAATATATCTCTTTTGTGCACCTTTTCTAACGAAGAATGATAAATCTTTTCTTACAGGCACTTCTACGTTTGGTCAGAAGTCTTTTGGCCTCTCAACACCTCAGTCAAGTCCTTTCGGAAGCACCACACAGCAATCACAGCCTGCCTTTGGAAACAGCACTTTTGGTTCGTCTACACCTTTTGGTACCTCTAGCACGCCTGCCTTTGGTGCCTCAAACACTTCCGCATTTGGCGCCTCAAACACTTCCGCATTTGGCGCCTCAAACACTTCCGCGTTTGGAGCCACAAGCACACCCGGGTTTGGTGCCACAAGCACACCCGGATTTGGTGCCACTAGCACACCTGGGTTTGGTGCATCAAGCACGTCTGCCTTTGGCTCCAATAACACACCTGCTTTTGGTGCTGCAACTACTCCTTCATTCGGCTCCTCGAGCTCACCTGCATTTGGCGTGTCACCTGCTCCAGCCTTTGGTAGCTCTGGCAATGCATTTGGTAACAATGCCTTCAGTTCTGGAGGTGCTTTTGGTGCATCAAGCACTCCTGCGTTTGGGGCATCTAACACTCCTGCCTTTGGGGCATCAAGCACTCCTGCGTTTGGGGCATCTAACACTCCTGCCTTTGGGGCATCAAGTACCCCATCTTTTAATTTCGGTTCTTCCCCAGCTTTTGGACAGTCTACCTCAGCATTTGGTAGCAGTTCCTTTGGTTCTACACAATCTACCTTTGGAGCCCAAGGTTTTCTAGCTAGTCCTATTCAATTACAGCTTAGAAGTGAAAGTTCCCACCCATTTAATGGTAACTAATTATGTTCACATGTTTTGTTTTGCAGGTGCACAGGCTTCGACCCCAACATTTGGGGGTCAATCAACTATTGGGGGTCAACAAGGGGGGAGTAGGGTCATGCCTTATGCACCTACAACTGAGCCAGCATCGGGCACTAGTAACCAGACTGAGAGGCTACAATCTATATCTGCCATGCCTGCATACAAAGAAAAAAACCAGGAGGAGCTTAGGTGGGAGGACTACCAGCGAGGAGATAAAGGTCATATGCCAAACAAATCCATGTTATGCGTTTGTCTTAAGGTTAGATGTTTGTACTTTATTTACCAAAATATTGATTCTCTTGCTGTTTAATTTTCAGGTGGACAACGTCCTGTTGGTCAATCTCTTGGAGGTACTGGATTTGGTGTAACAAATTCTCAGCCTATATTCTCTTCGTCATCAGCTTTTAGCCAGACACCTGCAAATCCAGCAAACCCTTTTTCAAGCTCAATAGCCACTAGCGGTTTTGCACAGACGACTCCAACAACTAACACAATTTTTCCCCCTTCCTTTGGTCATCCCACTACCCCATCCTTTGGTCAACCCACTACCCCATCCATGTTTGGGTCAACTGTATCAAATACTACATCCGTTTTTGGACCATCCCCTAGTTTTGCAACAAACACATCACAGCCAGTTGGTTCATCAATATTTGGTTCAGCTCCTGCACATGGGTCAACTCCAGCATTTAACAATGGTGGAAATTTTAACAACAGTCAGTCATCTCCGCTGTTTGGTTCAAACCCCTCATATGCACAGAATACCACTCCTGCATTCAGCCAGACTAGTTCTTTGTTTGCACAGAATACCACTCCTGCATTAGGACAGACTAGTCCTGCACTTGGACAGAGTAACTTTCTCAGTACACCTATCACTGGCTCTGCGAACATGTTTTCAAGCTCTGCATCCCTAACTACAAACATCTCTCCCTTTGGTCAAACAACAGTGAGTTTCTTTTTAACTAATTTAAATGCCAGTTCACTTCAGAGTTGATGTCCCTTTCACTGCCGTTTTGAGTTATGTAGGGATTTCTAATATTAGTTTATTTTTGCAGCCTGCTGTTACACCCTTTCAATCAGCTCAGCCAACTCAACCATTAGGTGCTTTTGGTTTCAACAACTTTGGTCAAACCCAAATAGGTATGTCAATCAATCAAAGCACCCTGAATATTATCGTCTTGAATACTAGAAGCTAAGTCTTTTATGTTTATGTTCTGAAGCTAATACCACTGACGTTACAGGTGGAATGGGAACTTTTAGCCAAGGCAACTTTAAGCAAGTGTATGGTCTTTCTGACATCAGTGTTTCGACTCTTATTTCTTCTTTTAGATAATTTATTAACCCAGTAGTTTTATTGTACTTAGGAAGTTGCATCTCTGGAGCTTCATTCTTTTTTTTTTTTGTTTTGCTTTGACAGGCCTGCGATGGGTAACTCTGCTGTTATGCAACCAACTCCTGTTACAAACCCATTTGGAACACTTCCTGCTTTGCCTCAGATTTCAATTGCTCAAGGTGGAAATTCACCTTCGATTCAGTATGGTATCTCCAGCATGCCTGTAAGTTATTTCTGCCTTTTTCAACACCCACACACCACCTTTTTTTCTTTATAACTTTTTTCCAAATTTGAAGCAAATAAAATACATCTCCTCTCATAGATACAATGATACAGAAACAAATGACTGCTCCATGGTATTAACCCGTATATTTTCCTTTCTTCATAGGTCGTTGATAAGCCTGCTCCAGTTAGAGTATTACCACTCCTAACTTCTCGACACTTTTTACAAAGACGGGTCAGGCTACCTACAAGAAAATACCGTCCCGGTGATGATGGTCCAAAGGCATGTTTTCTGTTTTCTGAATTTTGGCTTTGTCTTGAATATATCTGTCTTTAGTTTTGTTACTGAGGTTCTTTCTACCTGTTTGTTCAGGTTCCATTCTTCAGCGATGAAGAGGAGAATTCCAGTACACCAAAGGCTGATGCGTTTTTCATTCCAAGGGAAAACCCTAGAGCTCTATTTATACGCCCAGTTGAAAGGGTAAAATCAGAACGTCCAAAGGATAGCCCGACCCCACTGCAGGAGAACGGTAAGCTTACCTTTTTATTGGCTTATTTATTGCAAGATTAGAGCCTTCGTTCAATTGCAAAAAGAAGCTTTCCGTTGTCCCAATAGCCCCCTTTTTTTCTAGACATGGCTCCAATAGTTTCTCTTAGATAAGAAGTAAGAAGTTTCCACTTAGAACATCTTACTTGATGCTACCTCTATAGCTGAACTTTCTATGGATACTTGGGACTCGGGAAATGACCTGTTTGCATATTAATATAGTGGCTTAATTTGATCATATCTGACCTTATTTTACATGTAAATTTCAGGTAAGAAGTCGAATGGGGTTACTAATGGAGCCAACCATGAGAGTGAGTATTTAAAATATGCATATGTAACAAAATAGTGATTAACGTTTGTGCATTGGTGAGGCCCATTCACTGACTCTACTGTTAATATTTGCAGAAAAGGATAACGGTGAAATTCGTGAAGCTACCCCGGCCAAAGCCAATCAGAAAACAAAGGGGACACATGAAAATGAAATTCGTGAAGCTACCCCGGCCAAAGCCAATCAGAAAACAAACGGGACACATGAAAATCATGGAGGCAACAAAGAAGGTTCACACAGTTCACCAAGTGGAGCAGATATCGAGTCATTGATGCCGAAGTTGCATCACTCTGAATATTTCACAGAGCCTCGGATCCCAGAACTGGCTGCAAAAGAAAGGGTTGAACCGGGTTATTGCAAGCGGGTAAAGGACTTTGTTGTTGGGAGACACGGTTGCGGGAGTATAAAGTTTCTAGGAGAGACGGATGTGTGTAAACTCGACCTGGAAATGGTGGTTCAGTTCAAAAACCGAGAAGTGAATGTGTACATGGACGAGAGCAAAAAACCACCAGTGGGTCAAGGATTGAATAAGCCGGCGGTAGTAACTTTGCTGAACATAAAATGTATGGACAAGAAGACTGGTACGCAAGTGAAGGAAGGCGAGAGATTGGACAAGTACAAGGAAATGCTGAAGAGGAAAGCTGAGGAACAAGGAGCTCAGTTTGTGTCTTATGATCCTGTGAATGGCGAGTGGACTTTCAAGGTCGAACATTTCAGTTCCTACAAGCTTGGAGATGAAGATGATGTGTAGTAACTAGAAAGATCATATGTAGACTAGTGTCCCGTTTTTTTTTGGTTCTGTTTTTACTTTTTGGGGTTTGTCTATTGGTCTGTTTTTGCAATATAATGTCAAAATGATGTCTTTTGCAATATAATGTCAACCTCTCTTTTCTATCAGTTTTATTAGGAAAAATTTACTTAGTTCTTGGATTATAAAAATTTCAGAGACCAATGAATAAAGATGTGTATATATCATTAATGATCAACCGGTTGAGTTGAATTGTCAAATTTTAGAAAATTCATATTGACTAAGTCACTAAGAAGACAAAAGAAGAAGAAAAGAGCCGTGGAGGAATACAAAACTAGCCTCACCACTAATATCTTCTTGTTTCTTGGTCTATTTAAACGATTAATTACTGACCTAAACTAAAAATAATTTAGACAAAACAAAGATGGGAGAGGAAGAGGAAGTGAAACTGTTGGGAACATGGTACAGTCCGGTCGTGTTAAGAGCAAAGATAGCTCTTCGTCTCAAATCGGTTGATTATGATTACGTTGAAGAAGATTTGTTCGGATCAAAGAGTGAGCTTCTTCTCAAATCGAACCCGGTTTACAAGAAAGTCCCGGTTCTCATCCACAAAAGTAAACCGGTTTGCGAGTCTCTTAACATCGTAGAGTACATCGATGAGACGTGGAGCTCATCTGGACCGTCCATTCTTCCTTCTCACCCTCATGATCGAGCTCTTGCTCGCTTCTGGTCTGCCTTCGTTGATGACAAGGTCAGTTTTTGGTGTCTTTTATCTGAAGTCCATCAAATTTAATTTTTCTTTTGTTGGGATCCTCTTTCAGTCTTTTGTCAAGAATTTGTAATGCGTGACCATTAATTTTATGCGATGAACTTTTGATATTTTAGCGAGATACTAATTAAGTAATTATATCTTTCTTTTGTTGGGATCCTCTTAATTTTAGGGGGTGTTATTGGTTCCTAATTTTCAAGGAATTTTGATGACTTCAATCAAATCCTACAAAGTCAATAAATAAAAGATTCTAAACTATTGATAGAGAGTTTTTTATAATCTTGTTGATTAGTTTTTCATAATCTTGTAAAGTTTCTCAAACAATTTCTCTATTTTGATAATACTTTTCATGACTTTCTATGACTTTATTTTGTGAAGAAAAGTGTACAAAGTCATGAACCAATAACATAATAATTTAATTCATTAACAGTCAGAGATTCTTTTGTTTTAATTGAATAACACAAAATTTTTACTGACTTTATAAGAGTATGAATCTAATAACCCCAAATTTACGATGATTTTACATTACTTTTTACAAATCTTAAATGAATAACACAAAACTTTAACATACTTTAAAAAAATCTTGATTGAATAACAACATATTCTACATGACTCTTTAAGTCACTAAAACTCTTTTGAAATCATAAACCAATAACACCCCCTTATTGTTTAGGCAGTATCTAGATTGTTGAAAACTTGAAATTAAATGGACCATGCAATATGAATTGTGAATACTTGAAATCTAGTCCTTTTTTTCTTGTTGCAACAAAAACTGAACTATTTATTTATCACTCTAAATAATTTGATGGATGATTGAAATTGGTCCGAAATATTTTCAATGAGTTAAAACTTGATCATTAGGATGATTTTACCATGAAATAATCATTATTTATTAAGAAGAAAACCGTTAAGCTTAATTTGTTTAAGATTTATAACAAATTTGTATTACAATATTTTTGCTAATTTTCCATTTCAAGAATGCAGTGGTTTCCGGCTTTGATGACAGCGGTGGTCACTAAATCGGAAGACGCAAAAGCAAAAGGCATGGAAGAAATGGAAGAAGGGTTGTTGCAACTCGAGGATGCGTTTATTTCTCTTAGCAAAGGGAAATCTTTTTTCGGCGGTGAAACAATCGGGTTCATGGACATTTGTCTCGGAAGCTTTTTAGTTTTCTTTAAAGCTAGAGAAAAGCTTAAAAAAGAAAAGGTTTTAGACGAATTAAAAACTCCTTCTCTTTATAGATGGGCCAACCAGTTTTTGTCAGATGAAACGGTGATGAATGTGGTGCCGGAGATAGATAGAGTTGCCAAGTTTATAGTAGAACTTGAGGATAGAGCTCAATCCGTTGCTCCTTAGCTCCTAGATCGGAAGACTACCGTAGAAATGTATTGTAATGCAAGGGTGCATGTAAATGTAAGAAGAAAATAAGTTGAAGTTTTAAAGTTTTAATTTGTAAGATATACTTTTTTGGCATTTATAATATGATGTAATGTATGCAGTATATGCAGTCTATTGTTCAAATTGACTCTTGTGTATCTTCAATTTACTATGCCTAGGAATTTCAGGTTTTTAAAATAAACTTCATAAGCTAAAGGTAAAGAGTAGTCTCGCCTCAAACATATACTCCCTCCGTTTCATAAAGAGTGTCGTTTTAAGGTTTTATTTTTGTTTCACAAAGAGTGTCGTTTTAGGTTTTCAATGAAAATTTAATGATTTTTTATGTTTTATGACCATTAGTATTCTGCAGATTGCTTTACTATTGGGCTGGGCAGATTATGTTTAGGTATATAGTTAATGATGTTTTTGTTTAGAAAAAATAAAAAATTTAATGTTTTCTTAATCTGTGTGCAAAACTCTAAAATGACACTCTTTGTGAAACAGAGGGAGTAGTTTTCTTCTTGGTTATTTTTTTGAGATTCATCTAAGTTTTACATGAATTCAACAATAATATTTTCACTAAGAAATGGCAAACAAAATCTATTACCAGAGAAAAACTTACAACACAACTTATCCTATAAAATGCGATATTTTTTTTTTATCTTTCATCAAAACTATCATTGGCTTTTAACTTAATACCAAAATTTACTTACTACTGATTGCTCGAATAATTATCCGATACACTTAACCACAATGTTGTATATGCGGAGTTGATCCACAAAGACCAAAAATACTCTAAAGATTTTCGAGACTCGTTCTTAACTAAAACGACAATGGTTATTTGGTTTTTGGATTATCAAGCAAAACAAGAAAACAAACAATTACTAACCAATTGATTAAACAAACGACAAGTGTTGGGTCTTAAGAAAATTTTCAGGGATTGAATAATAAAAATTGAATATGTCAAAAAGAATATATATATATATATAAAGAATTGGTTGGAAAAGTAACACATTTTGGAAATTGAAAAAGATTTGTGACAAAAATGAAGGAAGAAATAGATTAAGATTAGTGAAGATATTTTTTCTCACCGCTAAGATAGAAAACAAACCACTTTGGTTTCATAAAAGTTTGGTTTTAGAAATGTAAAAGAACTTTCAATTTTGGGCCCTCAAAATTCATGGGCCCTTTCTTACGTGCTGGTCTTCCTCTTGCAAAGAGACACCGCTGTACTTTCACGACATTAGTTGAGATTCGAAACAAAAATCAATCAGCTCTAAATTCTCCCGAAGAGCGAAGACGGGTGAGTACTTTATGACATTTCACTTTCTTCTTCGGAATATTATCCAATAATTTCTAATTTTGGGATCTTCTGGTCAGTATGTATCGGGTTTTGTTCAAACGAATCTGGTAGGGACTTTAAGAGCTAAAATTTTTTGTTTGACATTTGACTTTGTTCTTGACTTTATGCATCCTTCTTGGGAAAATTCTTGAATAATTCCATATAGGGGTCCTTTGGTCTGCCTTGGTAATCTTTAGTATTTATTTTGTTCTATAGATTCTGATGGGGGCTTGGTAGTGACTTTAGGAGCTAAAAACAAATCTCTACTTTGAACCTTTAAGAGACTCTTTTTGGCTTGATAATACTACTTGTGCAGGAGACTTATGGCTGAGACACTTTTGTCGTTTGGAGTCGAGAAGCTTTGGGACCTCCTTGTCCGAGAATCTGAGCGATTCCTAAGAGTAAAAGAGCAATATAATGAAGTTAAAGAACATCTACAAAGGTTAAGGGGTTTTTTGAATGATGCAGATGCCAAGAAACATACAAGTGCAATTGTGAGAAAAACTGTGGAAGACATCAAAGAAATTGTTTATGACGCAGAAGATATAATCGAAACCTTTCTTCTAAAAGAAGAAGCTGGAAAGACAAGTGGCATTTGGAACCGTGTGAAAAGATTGGCCTTGGTTATAGTGGACCATAGGGAACTTGGTTCCGATCTAAGAGCCATAAGTAAGAGGATCGATAAAGTGATTCACGATATGCAGATTCTTGGCGTACAACAGGTCATGGTCAATGAAAGGTATACGCAGTCTCTACAGGACGGACAAAGAGAAATGCGACAAAAGTTGTCCAGCGATTATGAAGACCATCTTGTGGGGTTGGAGAAGACTGTTGAGCAATTGGTTGGCTATTTAGTGAAGGAAGATAGCAGCCAAGTGGTTTCTATAACTGGAATGGGCGGTATTGGTAAAACCACCCTCGCAAGAAAAGTTTTTAATCGTAAGACTATACAATGTCATTTTGCAGGACTCGCGTGGGTATTTGTTACACAAAAGTTTACAAGGAAGCATGTGTGGCAGATGATCTTGCGGAAACTAAGGCCAGAATACAAAGTGTTAGAGATGCTAGAAAACGAACTTCTAGAAAAACTCTTTCAAGTGTTGGAAACACAAAACACTTTGATTGTCCTTGATGATATATGGAGAGAAGAAGATTGGGACATAATTAAACCAATGTTTCCACGGAAAAAAGGTGACACTCTATCATACATACATGAATTTATTCTCCTTTTTAATATAAGTACAAAAAAAGAGAAAGGGCATGCAGAACGAGACACACATATTGGTCATAAAGCATTATGTTCTTTTCGGTTAAGGAGGTATATAAAAAATAGTTATATTTTGTTTAGGTTGGAAGGTACTTCTTACTTCTCGCAACGAGAGTGTGGGATTGCGAGCAGATCGAAGATGTGTCACCTTCAAACCAACACTCCTAACCCCTGAAGAAAGTTGGACAATGTTTCAAAGGATAGCATTTCCTAGAGAAAACTCTACCGGTAAGCTTTAGGACTGTTTAATTAATTTTTGTTTTCTATATCGATCATAATCGAGCACTTTTTACTTAGGATGATCACTGTCCGAATTTCCTAAATAATATTTCTCGAATAGACATCATGTAATTTCACCATATCTTGATGATGTCATGTGTAGAATATAAGATTGATGAAGAAATGGAAGAGCTGGGTAAGAAGATGATCGAACATTGTCACGGACTACCATTGGCCATCAAAGTGTTAGGAGGGTTGTTAGCTGTCCAACACACATTAAGTGAGTGGAAAAGGGTATGTGCGAATATTAAATCTCACTTCAATGACAGCAATAACACTCCTGTTGACCAAATATTGTCTCTGAGCTATGAAGAGCTGCCTATTTCTCTGAAGCACTGCTTCCTCTACCTTGCCCGTTTTCAAGAAGATTATGCAATAGATGTCAGAGAATTGTCCTATTATTGGGCCGCAGAAGGAATACCAAAGTCGAGGTATTATGATGAAGCGACCATTCGAGAGGTCGCAGATGAATACATAGAAGAATTGGTGAAGAGAAATATGGTTATTTCAGAACGAGACATTCATACTTCGAGATTTGAGACATGTTGCTTGCATGAGATGGTGAGAGAGATTTGTTTGTATAAAGCTAAAGAAGAGAATTTCCTACAAATTATTGATGCAAGTAGCATTACCTCAACTTCAGACTCTTGGTATCATAGTGAACCTCGCAGACTCGTCATACATTCGTGTGATCATACATTTCTTATAAAGAATCCAAAAGTTAGATCTCTCTCATTGCGAGGCTCAATGTGGATGGCATCAGGTTTATGCTTTACAAAGGTACATTTGATGAGGGTGTTAGATCTTTTTGGAGTGGAGTTTAAAGGAGGGAAGTTACCCTCTAGCATTGGAAAGCTCATCCACTTGAGATATTTGAGTTTATATATGGCGAAGGTATCTTATCTACCCTCTTCTCTGGAGAACCTAACGTTACTCCTCTATTTGAATCTGAAAGTAAAAGCGGGATCTCCACTGAATGTGCCTAATATCTTGAAAGAGATGAAAGAACTGAGATACCTTTGGTTACCGGATGAAATGCATGATAAGACAAAGTTGGAATTAGGTAATCTAATCAACTTGGAGACGTTGGAGAATTTCTCAACAAAGCATAGCAGCGTGAGGGATCTTCACTGTTTGACAAAGCTCGAGACTCTCTCAATCTTATTCAACGGCAAGGGGTGTACTAAGAAAACCCTATCTTCATCTCTAAGTGAACTTAGACACTTGGAAAATCTTACTATTGATGGTTACACGAGTGATGAGGAAGGATTAATTTTTGATTGTGTTCATCTTAAACACCTGCAGTTGAGCATATATATGCCAAAGTTACCTGATGTGCAATATTTTCCTTCTCACCTTACAACCATAAATCTGAAGATTTGTCATTTGGAGGAGGATCCGATGCCGATTCTAGAGAAGCTGCTTCACTTATCTCGGGTCAAATTATCATTTAAATCTTTTTGTGGGAAGAGAATGGTTTGTTCGGGCGGCGGGTTTCTTAAATTGCATATGCTTTCAATATGGGGACTACTGGAGTGGGAAGAGTGGATAGTAGAAGAAGGCTCCATGCCCCTTCTTCACACTCTGAATATTAGTGACTGTAAGAAATTAAAGGAGTTCCCTAATGGGCTGCAATTCATCTTTTCTTTAAAGGATCTGATTATGGGAAAGGAATGGAAGGAGAGACTGTCGAAAGGAGGAGTAGATTATTACAAAGTCCAGCACATCCCTTTTGTTAAATTTACTAGCGGGTGTACTACGGAAACTCTGTCTTCATCTCTAGGTGAACTGAGACACATAGAAAATCTTACTATAAGCGATCACAGGGCTGAGACAAGTGAAGTTTTTTTGGATAATGCCATGCGTGAGGCATTAGACACAAAACGGAAGGAAAATACTTTTCGCAGCCATGATTCTACGAAAGAGATGGCTCAACCAGAATGCGTATCAGTCTTTTCATGCAATGACAGCCATGATGTGGACGAGACACAGTTCATGGAAGCCATCTTAAAAGAGTTGCACGAGCGAGGGATCACACCTTTGACGTATAATCTTTCAGGAAGAGAGAACTTGAACGTAGAAATGTTAAACAGATCTAGTGTTGGTATTATGGTATTTTCAAATAGTTACGTTTGTTCTAAACAGTCCTTGGATCATCTTGTGGCAATCATGGAGCATTGGAAAGCGAAAGACATTGTAATTATCCCTATATATTTTAAAGTGACACTTCAACACATTTGTGGGTTGAAAGGCATGTCTGAAGCAGCATTTCTGCACCTTCAGAGTTCTGTCCAGGAAGACAGAGTTCAGAAATGGAAGATGGCTCTGGCTGAAATAGAATCCATTGATGGACATGAATGGACAAAAGGGTAACTTGATTTCTTTTAATTTTGCCTTTACTATTTGACAATTTTTGCAATGGGGAAACTGTTCCTTTGGAAACTTTTCTAGGATTCAATGTACTTATTAACACTTTCTAGTTTTTGTGTGCGTTTTGCAGGACTGAGGTTATGCTTGCTGAGGAAGTTGTTAGAAACGCATGCTTAAGGTTATATTCGAAAAATAGCAAGAATCTGGTCAGAATCTTAGCATTGTTAAATCAGTCCCATCCTTCAGATGCTGAAATTGTGGGAATTTGGGGTATGGCAGGAATAGGTAAGACATCTATTGCTAGAGAAATTTTTGGAATTCTAGCTCCACAATATGATATGTGTTACTTTCTGCAAGACTTTGATCTAACATGTCAAACAAAAGGGCTGAGGCAAATGCGTGATGATTTATTTTCTAAAATATTTGGGGAAGAAAAACTAAGTATAGGCGCTTCTGATATAAAAACGAGTTTCATGAGGGACTGGTTCCAGGAAAAAACGATTCTTCTTGTTCTCGATGACGTGAGTAATGCTAGAGATGCAGAAGCTGTAGTTGGAGGGTTTTGTTGGTTTTCTCATGGACACAGAATCATCTTAACCTCTAGGAGAAAACAAGTTCTTGTACAATGCAGGGTTAAAGAGCCATACGAGATCCAAAAGTTATGCGAGTTTGAATCTTCTCGTCTCTGCAAGCAATATTTGAATGGAGAAAATGTGGTCATCTCAGAGCTTATGAGCTGCAGTAGTGGTATTCCATTGGCTCTCAATGTTCTGGGTTCCTCTGTATCAAAGCAGCATAGAAGCAATATGAAGGAACATCTCCAAAGCTTGCGGAGAAATCCTCCAACTCAGATTCAAGACGAATTCCAGAAAAGCTTTGGTGGACTAGACGAAAACGAAAAGAACATATTTTTGGATCTTGCATGTTTTTTCACAGGGGAGAACAAAGATCATGTGGTGCAATTACTTGATGCTTGCGGGTTTCTTACATATTTGGGAATCTGTGATCTCATTGACGAGTCTCTCATTAGCGTTGTAGACGATAAAATCGAGATGCCTGTTCCTTTTCAAGATATTGGTCGATTTATAGTTCATGAAGAAGGCGAGGATCCATGCGAACGTAGCAGATTGTGGGACTCTAAAGACATCGCTAATGTATTGACACGCAATTCCGTAAGTTGACATTTGCTTAGTTCTTTTAACCTCCTGATACTTCATAATTATCCTTACTTTAGTTTTTATTGTCTTCGTCAGGGAACTGAAGCGATTGAAGGCATTTTCCTGGATGCTTCTGACTTGAACTATGAGCTTAGTCCTACTATGTTTAGTAAGATGTATAGACTAAGATTGCTGAAGCTCTATTTTTCCACCCCTGGGAACCAGTGCAAGCTAAGTCTATCTCAAGGCCTCTACACTTTGCCCGATGAGCTCAGGTTACTTCATTGGGAGAATTACCCTCTGGAATGCTTGCCTCAGAAATTTAATCCTGAGAACCTTGTAGAGGTAAACATGCCCTATAGCAACATGGAGAAGCTATGGGAAGGGAAGAAAGTAAGTATTGACATTATGGTGTTTTAAGATGCTTACATTAATTTATAAGCTTGCATTTGATGACTCATTTCGGTTATTGATGTTTTAAACAGAATCTCGAGAAGCTAAAGAGAATTAAACTGAGTCACTCCAGAAACTTAACTGACGTCATGGTGTTATCAGAAGCCTTGAACCTTGAACATATTGATCTCGAAGGATGTATTAGTCTGGTTGACGTTAGCACATCTATTCCTAGTTGTGGGAAGCTTGTTTCATTAAATTTGAAAGACTGTTCTCAGTTGCAAAGTCTGCCTGCCATGTTTGGGTTAATATCTCTCAAGCTTCTTCGTATGTCTGGCTGCTCAGAGTTCGAGGAGATTCAGGATTTTGCACCAAACTTGAAAGAGTTATATCTAGCTGGGACTGCCATAAAGGAACTTCCATTGTCAATCGAGAATCTCACTGAACTTATTACGCTTGATCTTGAGAACTGCACAAGGCTTCAGAAACTACCAAATGGAATAAGCAACTTGCGATCTATGGTGGAGCTTAAGCTGTCTGGCTGTACAAGTCTTGATCCCAGAAGCATGGAAGCTACATTGGACGACACATGATTCACGCATGGTAGGGGAGGTCTCTCATAACAAAACAAAAGGTGTTTCACTGTTGGTAATTTTGTATTGCATTTCACTTAGTATTAGGTTCGCGTAGCTAATGTGTTAAAACTCGTTGGTACACTTGTTCCATAAAGTTGCAGTGACCATCATGGTAGCTTCATTGGTTTATTATCCCATCACCAATTGATTTTTATTCGTACAAAAAAGTTGTTAGTAAAAATTCATGTTACATTATCATTAATCCATTATGCTAGCTGCATTGCTTTAGCATCTTATTACCAAATTGATTGTGATAATTAGAATGAAACTGTTAATCTCTAATTGTTAACCACAAGGAACTGATACATCGTATAGAAGAGTGAACCTTCATAGCACATCACTAGAAACTATAGAATGCATACTTTTATAATAGTTTTTCCTCTGTATTTATAGCTATTCAGCCCACTAATTCTGTTACATTTCTATTTCAACCCAATAATTTTCTTCAGCCACGCTTGTTACCCTCATGTGCGTAAACTAACCCATCTTCAGGTCCCACCAAAACTGAAGCTGGACCATTTTATTATATAAAGGTCTCACCTTAGTTTCCTTTTTTTTTTCTGAACCAATGCAAAAATAACAAGTGGCCAAAGGTTGCCTTGAAGACTTTCTGGCCAAAAGTAGGTGCTGACTTGGAGTCAACTCTTATCCTTAGAAAACAAACAGATCAGTTGATTGAGAAGCAAATTTCCGGAGGCGATTATTACTTTTCTCTCTTTAGTTTTGGTGGTGGAAGGTACTTCGATTTTTTTGTATTCCTTTTTTTTTTTTTTTATATCAGTATTGTTCATGTCTTTGTAGAAAGATCTGTTGATTAGATCCAACAAAACTAGTATAGTTATTCGGTAAATTTTGCAAAAGAATATATCTGAATTGTGAACTCATGGATCCTCTTCAAGTGATTATTGACTACTACTTTCATTGTTAAGCAGGAGACTAATTATGGCTGAGACACTTTTGTCGTTTGGAGTTGAGAAGCTTTGGGACCTCCTTGTCCGAGAATCTGAGCGATTTCAAGGAGTTAAAGAGCAATTTAATAGATTAAAAAGTGATTTGAATATGTTAAGGTGCTTTTTGGAAGATGCAGATGCCAAGAAACATACAAGTGCAATGGTGAGGAACACTGTCAAAGAGATAAAGGAAATTGTTTATGACGCTGAAGATATAATCGAAACCTTTCTTCTAAAGCAAGAATTGGGAAAAACAAATGGCATGATCAGGAACAGTGTGAGAAGGTTTTCTAAACGCATGGGGCTTGCTTTCGATATTAGAGCAATAAGCGAGAGGATCTCTAAGGTGATTCGGGATATGCAGAGTCTTGGCGTACAACAGGTCATTGTCAATGAAAGGGATACAAAATCTCTACAGGAAAGACAAAGGGAAATGCGACAAACGTTTTCTAGCGATGATGAAGATCATCTTGTGGGGCTGGAGAAGAGTGTTGAGCAATTGATTGGCTACTTGGTGGAGGAAGATAGTAGTCAAGTGGTTTCTATAACTGGAATGGGCGGTATCGGTAAAACAACCCTCGCAAGACAAGTTTTTAATCATGAGACAGTAAAAAGTCATTTTGCAGAACTCGCGTGGGTATGTGTTTCACAACAACTTTCAAGGAAGTATGTGTGGCAGTCGATCTTGCGGAAACTTGGGCCAGAGTATAAGGTGTTAAAGATGACAGAAGACGAACTTCAGGAAAAACTTATTGAAGTGTTGGAAACACAAAACACTTTGATAGTCCTTGATGATATATGGAGGGAAGAAGATTGGGACATAATTAAACCAATGTTTCCACGGAAAAAAGGTGACATTCTATCATACATAATTACATACATTAAATAATTCTCTCTTTAATATATGTAATTTTCACCTTCTGAGTAAAAAAAATATAAGGTCAGAACCAGACACACATATTGGTCATAAAGCAATATGTTATTTTCTGTTAGAAATTATATAAAAATTAGATATGTATAGGTTGGAAGGTACTACTTACTTCTCGTAACGAAGGCGTGGGATTGCGAGCAGATCCAAAATGTTTCACCGCTAAACCAAATTGTCTAGCTCTCGAACAATGTTGGACAATTTTCCAAAGGATAGTGTTTCCTAGAGAAAACTCCACCGGTAAGCTTTAAGACAGTTTTATTAATAAAACTCTACTAATTAAGATTATCACAATCTACTTTTCCTTAATAGTATCTCTCTAATACTTACGGGTATTCATGTAATGTCACCATATCTTGATGATGTCGTGTGTAGAATATAAGGTCGATGAAGAAATGGAAGAGATGGGTAAGCAGATGATCAAACATTGTGGAGGTCTACCGTTGGCTGTAAAAGTGTTAGGAGGGTTGTTATCTGCGCAATACACATTTCATGAGTGGAAAAGGGTATATGAGAATATTAAATCGCACATTGTTGGAGGAACTAGCTTCGACGACAGAAATATTAGTTCGGTTTATCATATATTGTCTCTGAGCTTTGAAGAGCTGCCTATTTATTTGAAGCAATGCTTCCTCTACCTTGCCCATTTTCCCGAAGATTTCCAAATAGATGTTGGGAAGCTGTCCTATTACTGGGCTGCAGAAGGAATACCAAAGCCGAGGTATTATGATGGAGCGACCATTGGAGAGGTCGCAGATGGATACTTAGCAGAATTGGTCAAGAGAAACATGGTAATTTCTGAAAGAGACGTTAGTACTTCAAGATTTGAAACATGTCAGTTGCATGACATGATGAGAGAAGTTTGTCTACATAAAGCAGAGGAAGAGAATTTCGTACAAATTGTTGATGCAAGAAGCTCAACTTCAATATCTCAATCTCCTTGTAAATCTCGCAGACTCGTCATACAATCGTCTTGTGATACAATTGATATGAATCAAAAGCTTAGATCTCTCTTGCAGCTCCATTGGATGGAAACAAAGCTATGTTTCACAAGGCTACAGTTGATGAGGGTGTTAGATCTCTCTGGAGCCGATTTTATGGGATATAAGTTACCGCCTAACATTGGAGAGCTCATTCACTTACGATACTTGAATTTAAACCAAGTAAGGGTAACTCATCTACCTTCTTCTATCCGGAATCTGAAGTTGCTCCTTTATTTGAATATAGATGTATCGCCTGTATTTCCAGTTTACATGTCCAATGTCTTGAATGAGTTGCGAGAATTGAGATACCTCGCTTTACCGAGTAAAATAAAAGGTGAGACAAAGTTGGAATTAGGTAATCTAATCAACTTGGAGAGACTTGGTAATTTCTCAACAAAGCATAGCAGTGTGGCGGATCTTCACCATATGACAAGGCTAAGGGGTCTCTCAATCATATTTAACGGCGAGGATTGTACTTTGGAAATTCTAGCTTCATCTCTTCGTGGATTGACACACCTCGAAAATCTTACTATTAGGTAAGATATAAAGGTGTTTCTAGTGAGAAATCTTCTTTAGCTATCATTTGGCATGTATAATCCAAAGGCTTTGTGTCAGAAATTGATTTTAATACGTCAGTATTAAGTTTGAGTTTAAATATATGTGAAAAAAGAAAAGAAACTTAGACTTTCATTCAGTTATATTAGCATAAAGGTAGTTATATCTAACCAACGAGGAAGGATACTGTCTCTTCTCCTCAAGGACAGTCCACTAGATCAAAACCATCTTCTACTCCTGAAAACTCAAACTCTCTGGGCCCTCCATGTTAATCTAAAAGAAGAACATGGTTCTATTTCTGATTTGCTAAATCTTTTCTAACTAATTAAAGAAAATTATGCTGAGACTTATCCAACAATATAACAAGTGGCTGTCACTATGCAGCAAAATAGTAAAGTCTCTTACTATACATGCTTCTTTCCTTCTTATAGTGGAAAAATCATTTTAACTTTTATAGAGTGAGAATATATGACATGCTTCTTCTTCTTTCTTCACTTATGTATTATCCTTAGTTAGCATGTTTATATTCTCTTCTCTTCGACATATCATCAATCAACATTCATGCCATTTTTCAAAGTAATCTAATTCCTAGAATCAATTAGATATAGGCACACCAAATCAATGATTGATCAAATAAAGATCGCAAAAAAAATCAAAGGACGAACATAGAGAGAATATATATATTAAGGGTCACAAGGGAAAACAAAGAAAACATTGATCGATGAAGGCTCTACTTCACAAAGACCCGAGACTCTCTATGTTATTAGGGTAAACATTCATGGTGTACATATACTCCTCAACAAGTCTAAATTCATCACCGACAGTTTCGACTTCTCTAATACTGTTTCTCCTGGAATCAAAATATAGGATATAAACCGATTTAGAAAACCCCCATGTTGCAAAAGTAAGCTCACCAGTATTACTAACACCTTTGAAGTGTAGCTTTTTCTTCTGTTTTGGTTTCATTTCAGAAAATGGTAAAACAAAGCGTTTATGCGTCCATTTGTGTCTATCTCCATCCATCAAAATCCACAGATCAATAGAAGAGAAAATCAGAGTATCAACTAAGGCTAATCTTCCCTCATACGATATCAAATACGAACACAAATGAGAACTACCCTCCGGATATTTGATCTGATTGAACTTTTCAGATCGGACATTAAAGCTCATTATACGGTGTTTAAAAACATCAACAAGGGCTCCATAGTACATGACTCCATTAATGCATCCACCATAACGTAGAGTAGGTTTATGCCTAGGGACACCGTTGGTTATTATTCTCCATGATCCTTGTCCTTGAGCTCCCAATGTAAGAATGCAAATCTTGGAGTCTACAAAAACACGTAGTACTATGTATTTCTTATCAATCTGATCATATCTCAAAATGCATCCTTTGTAGTATTCCCCTTCAGCCGCTTCAGGTTCAGGTAAAGTGAAGACCCGTTTCAGGTAGGGTTCCAAATCATGAGCTGTTTAGTACCTTCCAAGAAAAACAAGCCGTGCACGTAATAATAATCAAAGAGGTTACCAAAATTAGGTTTTGTAAATTGATAACTTCCCACACAAGAAAATTGACCGTCGGGACTATTCTTGTGTAGGGGAGACGAGAAAACGAACAGAATGTCGCCTTTTTGGACGGTTAGCAGTCCAGAAGGCCCCGATGCCAAGGACCGAGTCGCAAAGGAGTTGATGAAATATTGACTAGTGGTGATGGTGGACCAAAGCTTAGAGACGGAGCGAAATCTCCCAACCGATTTTGCAGGAAGTCTTGAGAGTATCTGGATGGTTAAATCCAGAGGAATATGTTCTGATTGAGATGTATCATTATCACGTGAGGGCCGGCCCTGAGGGTAGCGGAATGAAGCAAATGAATGGGGCCCCCAATTTTTTTAAAAAATTTTGCTAGAAAAAATATTTGTAAATAAGCCTCCAAAAAATATTATTTTTAAGAAAAGACCTCCAGATTTTATAACTGTTTATAATAACCCTAAACAATTATATTTTGTTGCTTTGACCCCCAAATTTCTAGGACCAGTCCTGTGTGAGGACCTTGTCGATGAATATTGTGTTCTTCTCCCCGTCTTCTCTTCCATGGCCGACCGCTCCACTCTTTCACTTTCTCAAAATCCTAATTGAGAATACTCATTTGATTCTTAATATAATATTACAATTTTTATATTATATTTTAAAAATTAGGGAACTTTTGTCGTAAATTTTTACGGAAGAAACTTATTAATTTTTGGAAACTTATCAATTTACATTATAACTATATTCAATTATTAATTATATGTATGTATATCTTCTATAATAGTAACAATAATTAAATAGTTAATATTAATATATAGGACTCCATGATAATAACAAAATATTTATTTGATAAATAAATTTATATTTATAGGAAACAGTCAAAACTCACAAGGAAACGATCGTGCCCTAACTTAACAATTTGTCTCCATATATCGAGAGAGAGAAAAGAGTGGACAAGCTTTGAAAGTGAAAAACTTAGGTTGAAACTTGTAAGAATAATGACGACAATGTCAGATCTTGCTGTGGATTTGATAGGGGAGATACTCTCTAGGGTTCCGCTAACATCTCTGAGCGCAGTACGATGTACTTGCAAATCGTGGAAAGCTTTATCTAAGCATCAGATTGTTGGTAAAGCAGAAGTAGCAGCAACAAAGCAGTTTTTGGGGTTCATGGTAGTGGGTTCTAGGGTTTGTTCCTATTGGAGTGTATATGTGTATATTAATGTATTGGTTTAGTAGCTAGATTAGATCCGGTTAAGTAAACCGAGATTGAGCAATTGTATATAAACCTCTTGGAAAGATTCTTCCTAATCTTAATGAGAAAATTATCTTCATATTAACTTTTCTCTCAACGTTTCTCTTCCGCTAACATGGTATCAGAGCCTTCAAGCTCAGATCTCTATTGATTTCGATCTGATTTCTTCGTTTTCTTTGCGCTAGATCCATCCTCTACAATGGTGAAAGCTGTCATAGCTCGGAAATCCGCTCGATCGAAGTCTGGAACAAGTTCTTCAGCTCGGAAAGTGTCACGATCTACCGGTGTTGCTGAATCTCCTCCGATCTCTCCTCCAGCTACTAGATCTCGTAGTTCTGGAGCATCGCGAGCAAATGCATCATCGGACTTCTCAAATCCATCGCACTCTCCGTTCTTTCTTCACAGCGCCGATCATCCAGGTTTGACTCTCGTTGCTTTTCGTTTAGATGGCACAAACTATGATGATTGGGAAGCTGCTATGCGTATTGCGTTAGATTCAAAAGGAAAATTAGGATTCATTGATGGTTCCTTAACTCGTCCTGCTGAATCTGATAAAAATTTTAGCATCTGGTCTAGATGTAACAGTATGATTAAGTCATGGCTTTTGAATTCGGTATCATCGGAGATCTATCGGAGCATTTTACGTATGAAAGATGCTTCTGATATTTGGTGTGATCTTCACAGTCGTTTTCATATGAGTAATTTGCCAAGAACTTTCAATCTTACTCAAGAGATACAAGACTTGCGCCAAGGAGCCATGTCTTTGTCAGAGTACTACACCAAACTGAAGACCTTATGGGGAAATCTGGAAAGCACAGAAGAACCAGATGATCCGTGTGTTTGTGGCAAGGCTACTAGTCTGCAATTGAAGGCAGAGAGGGCTAAGATTGTTAAGTTTTTGGCAGGACTTAATGATTCTTATTCTATCATACGGAGACAAATCATCATGAAGAAGGTTCTCCCTACATTGGCTGAAGTCTATAACAAACTCGACCAAGATGATAGTCAAAAGGGTTTCTCCAATGTAGTTGCTCCACCTGCTGCTTTTCAAGTATCTGCTATTGAGTCTTCTGGTCAGGATCCCACTGTGTGTTATGTGCAAAGTGGACCAAACAAAGGAAGACCTATTTATTCCTTTTGTAACAGGGTGGGACATATAGCTTAGGTGATGCTATAAGAAGCATGGATTTCCTCCTGGATTCACACCTAAGGGAAAGACACCTGATAAGAATGTTAAACCCCGTCCCATTGCTGCTCAGGTTACTTTGGCTTCACCTTCTCCTGATTCTGAGAATAACAGTCTAGATGCAGTCATTGGTAATCTTAGTAAGGATTAGATTCAACAGTTCATCGCTCTGTTTAGTTCTCAGCTTCAACCTCAGTCAAGTTTTGGTTCTCCTGCAGCTAGTACATCTCAGACTGATAACACTGGTATCTCGTTTTCCTCTTCTACATATTGTTTCATTGGTATATTGACAGTATCCAGAAATACTATTTCCCCTAAGACATGGGTTATAGATTCTGGAGCAATACATCATGTCTCACATGATAGAAGCTTGTTTCTTACTCTGGATACTGCTATTGTTAGCTGTGTAAACTTGCCTACAGGACCTACTGTTAAAATTAGTGGTGTAGGAACCATTAGGATCAACAAACACATTTTGCTCCAGAATGTGTTATTTATCCCGGAATTCAGGCTAAATCTCATCAGTATTAGTTCTCTCACTACTGATCTTGGTTTCCGAGTGGTGTTTGATCCCTATTCTTGTGAAATTTAGGATCTTACCAAGGAGTTGACCATTGGAAAGGGTAGAAGAGTGGAAAATCTATATGTTTTGGATATTAAGGAGACAGAGATTTCAGTGAATGCAGTGGTGGATGTTAGTATGTGGCACAAGAGACTGGGGCATCCTTCATTCAGCAGATTGGATGTTATTTCTGAGTCTTTAGGCACTACTAGACATAAGAATAAGGGTTTAGCTTACTGCCATATTTGTCATTTGGCTAAGCAGAAGAAGTTATCTTATCATTCTCAGAATAATATTTGTAATACAAACTTGGAGTTATTACATATTGACATCTGGGGACCATTTTTAGTTGAATCTATTGATGGATATCGATATTTTTTAACTATAGTGGATGATCTTTCAAGAGCAACCTGGGTATATTTGCTGAGGAACAAGTCAGAGGTTCTTACAGTTTTTCCAGCTTTTATCACTCTTGTTGAGAATCAGTTTAATCTCAAAGTTAAATCAGTTAGGTCAGACAACGCACCTGAATTGAACTTCACAAGTTACTATCAAGATAAAGGTATACAGTCCTTCCATTCCTGTCCAGAGACACCTGAACAGAACTCAGTAGTTGAGAGGAAGCATCAACATATCTTGAATGTAGCTCGTGCTCTCATGTTTCAATCTCAAGTTTCTCTGCCTTTCTGGGGTGACTGTATCTTGACCGCAGTATTTCTTATTAACAGAACTCCATCTCAAGTTCTATCTAATAAGACTCCTTTTGAAGTTCTTACAGGGAAAGCACCTGCATATGATCAATTAAGGACTTTTGGTTGTCTTTGTTATGGATCAACATCTCCTAAACAGAGAACTAAGTTCCAAGAAAGATCTAAAGCTTGTGTGTTCTTGGGTTACCCTGCAGGCTACAAAGGATATAGGTTGATGGACTTGGAGAGCAATAAAATTTTCATTTCCAGAAACGTCATATTTCATGAAGATGTGTTTCCTCTGGCAAAAGATAAGAAGTCTGATCACTCTTTGGATTTCTTTACATCAATGTCCTAAGGTAAGCTCACTATACCATCACAAATTTCTCCATCTTCTATCTCTCCATCACAAATTTCTCCATTAAAACACTCCACCACTAGAGCCAAGAAAACTCCGGCTTATCTCAAAGATTTTCATTGTTACTCACTTAACTCTGATGTTCAATATCCCATTTCATCAACTCTTTCTTATTCTAAACTTTCACCTTCTCATCTCATATATATCAACAACATCACAAAAATTCCTATTCCCCATACTTATTCTGAGGCACAGGAATCCAAAGAGTGGTGTGATGCAGTTGATGCAGAGATTGGTGCGATGGAATCTACTGATACTTGGGAAGTTACAACATTGCCTCCGGGAAAGAAACCTGTAGGTTGTAAGTGGGTTTTCACAGTGAAATTCTTGGCAGATGGTAGTCTTGAGAGGTATAAGGCTCGCTTGGTTGCAAAGGGGTATACACAGAGAGAAGGAGTTGATTTTACAGAAACTTTTTCACCAGTTGCTAAGATGGCTACTATCAAGTTGTTACTCAAGGTGTCTGCTTCCAAGAAATGGTCATTAACACAACTTGATATCTCTAATGCTTTTCTCAATGGTGAATTAGAGGAGGAAATTTTTATGAAGCTTCCTGAGGGGTATGCAAAACGCAAAGGTATTTGTTTACCTCCTAATGCTGTTTGTAAGCTTAAGAAATCAATCTATGGGCTTAAACAGGCATCTAGGCAATGGTTTAAGAAGTTTTCCAGTTCATTATTGCATATGGGATTTGTTAAAGGCCATGGGGATCATACTTTGTTTGTGAAGAGTTGTGGTTCAGATTTTCTAGTAGTATTGGTTTATGTTGATGATATTGTCATTGCAAGTACCTCTGAAGCTTTGGCTGGTTCATTAACACAAAATTTGAAGCAACAGTTTAAACTAAGGGATCTAGGAGAGTTGAAATATTTTTTGGGGTTGGAGATAGCCCGAAATTCAGATGGTATTTCACTTTGTCAGCGTAAGTATGCATTGGAGTTATTGACTGCTATTGGTATGCTTGCGTGTAAGCCATCCTCTGTTCCAATGATCCCTAATGTTAAGTTGCTGAAGACTGATGGGGATTTATTGGGTGATAAAGAAGAATACAGACGTATTGTTGGTAAGCTGATGTACTTGACAATCACTAGACCTGATATTACATACGCAGTGAATAAGCTTTGTCAGTTTACATCTGCTCCTCAAACTGCTCATCTCGCGGCAGTTTACAAAGTTCTCCAGTACATAAAGGGGACTGTAGGTCAGGGTTTGTTTTACTCTGCTTCTCCTGACCTTACTTTGAAGGGTTTTGCTGACTCTGATTGGGCATCATGTCCTGATAGTAGACGCTCCACTACTGGTTTCTCCATGTTTGTTGGGGATTCTCTGATTTCTTGGCGTTCTAAGAAGCAACCCATTGTTTCTAGGTCCTCTGCTAAGGCTGAGTATCGAGCATTGGCATTGGCAACTTGTGAGATCATTTGGCTGCATCGTCTTCTTCAAGATTTACAAGTTAAGTCTCCTGCAGCTCCTATTCTTTTCTCTGATAGTACTTGCTGCAATCTACATTGCTACTAATCCAGTCTTCCACGAAAGAACGAAGCACATTGAGATTGATTATCACACTGTACGTGAAAGACTGGATGATGGTTCTTTAAAGCTACTTCATGTTAGAACAAAGGATCAAGTGGCTGATATCCTCACCAAGCCTTTGTTTCCTCATTCATTTGAACGTCTCAAATCCAAGATGCACATTCTCAACATTTTCCAATGCACATCTTGAGGGGGCATATTGGAGTGTATATGTGTATATTAATGTATTGGTTTAGTAGCTAGATTAGATCCGGTTAAGTAAACCGAGATTGAGCAATTGTATATAAACCTCTTGGAAAGATTCTTCCTAATCTTAATGAGAAAATTATCTTCATAATAACTTTTCTCTCAACGTTTCTCTTCCGCTAACAGTTCCTTGAGATTCGATCTCCAAGGAATCCGCAACGATGATGACTTCGTTGATCCATCTATTGAAGGACTGCAAAAATCCGGTTTGAAAATAAGGAATAAAGTGTTTAAGAAAAATTACGGTAACGGACTTCACCAGAAAATTGACCGAAGCCACATTGTCGAAATTGTAGTTCCGACATTGATAAATTGATGAGAGTAAAGAACACAAAAGTGTTGTGGAAGAATTATAATAGACTCTCATAAGAATAATTGCATAAAATACATTCTCTTATATAGAGATGAGATTTCCTAATCTAAGATAAATATAAATGTAAATAATATATTTAGAGATAATGGTAAATATCATAAACTAAGATATTAACAAATATCATGATCTTCTGGATCCTTCTCGATATTTATGATTTTCTTATTTTTGTGCTTTTCATCTCGACCGTCGATCTCGGTCGATCTCCAGTTCCCTCAATACCCTCCGGCAAGCTCATACGTGGTAACACATGTGAGATTGGACAAATCTTCAAAATAACGGCTTTTATACCTGGCCGTCGGGTCATCATCGACGTTTATACCCGATCGAAGGGTTCAAAGCGGCTACAATACCCAGCCGTTAGGTCATCGACGTTTATACCCGATCGTAGGGTTCAAAGCGGCTACAAAACCCAGCCGTTCGGTCATCGACGTTTATACCCGATCGTAGGGTTCAAGTAATAGAAAATAACACCCGCGATTGCGAGATTCAGATGTAGCTCGCGATGACGAGACTAAAAAAAAAAGCCAACTCACGAGGGCGAGTAGTTTAATCAAAAGGAGAAGTTAAACTCGCGAGGGCGAGAAAACATCATTGTTCCCGAAACAAATTTTTTTTTTTTTTTTTTTTTCTTTGCGGAAGCTAACGTAACGGATCCAAAATCCACAGAAAGGATCTTGGCTCTGATACCATGATAAATTGATGAGAATAAAGAACACAAAAGTGTTGTGGAAGAATTATAATAGCCTCTCATAAGAATAATTGTATAAAATACATTCTCTTATATAGAGATGAGATTTCCTAATCTAAGATAAATATAAATGTAAATAATATATTTAGAGATAATGGTAAATATCATAAACTAAGATATTAACAAATATCATGATCTTCTGGATCCTTCTCGATCTTTATGATTTCCTTATTCTTGTGCTTTTCATCTCGACCGTCGATCTCGGTCGATCTCCGGTTCCGAAAGAAGCAAATATTTGAACTTAACCAAGTTGAAATATATGATGTCTTTCACTGTGACGGATTATTGCTATGCGTTACCAAGGACCGCTGGAGACTCGTGGTATGGAACCCGTATTTGGGGCAAATCAGATGGATTCAAGCCAGAAAACAATTCAGCTCATGTGACATGTTTACTCTGGGATACGACAACAGTAACCGCAAAATCATGAGGTTTCCTTATGTTAATGTCAAAACAGCATGTCCATACTTAGAAATATATGATTTTAACTCTAATTCATGGAGGGTTGTTGAATTCAATCCCCCATGGTTTTTACATACCTGGGGCGTGTCTTTGAAGGGAAATACTTACTTTTTTGCTCAAGATTTACTAAAGACAGAGAATGATGTGAATGTTAAGTTTGAAAATTATTTACTCTGTTTTGATTTTACATCAGAGAAATTTGGACCGCATCTTCCTCTGCCGTTTCACTCTTATGATAATGAGGATGGGGCTGTGACTCTATCTTGTGTCAGACAAGAGCAACTTGCTTTGTTATATCAGAACAGCGAGACAGTTGAGTCATTAGAGATTTGGATTACGAATCAGATTGATCCCAATGCGGTGTCGTGGAGCATATTTTTGAAAGTGGATATCGAACCGCTTATTGGTTTTCCAAAAAACTTTGAACCTGCGAGCTTCTTCATTGACGAAGAGAAGAAAGTCGCTGTGGTTTCCGAAGACGAATATTTATATTTTACCAATGAGACCTGTCGCTACCAAACACTTTACATCATTGGAGAAGATGGATACTTCAAATCTTTCAAAATTAGATGCTCTGACTCACCTGAATTCTCTTCTTATGCTCCCAGTTTAGTGCACATACAAACCAACCAACAAGGCAAAAGGGAAAGAAAAAGGAAGAACAAAAGAAGAAAGAGGCAGATTACTTCTTAGTTCCATTTGCAATACTTTATTTGTTATGTACTTTTTGCATCATCTCCTGTTCTCATTCATTGGCTTTCATTCATGTCCTTTTGATTTTTGAACAATTATTATTTTGTTTTTGCTATTTATCATCTAACAGAGAATTCATATTTTGCATGTTATAGCCCTTTTTTTTTCAATTGTTCATGTCACCTTTTTCAATATCAAACTAATTATATATCACAATGCAGATTCGTCTTGATGTTCTTTGCGATTCTGCATCGGAATCCGTCTCCTTTTAGTTGTATGAAAAAAGAATTCCTTTTGTCAGTTGTTCATGTTACTTGTTCAACGTTTTGTTTGTTGATGTGGCATTCTCTATTTATTTTTGTGGAAACATCGTAGTTTTAGATTAACGTAGGAGTTCATGTGGAAGTAGAGAGATGTGTTGAGAGAATCATTAATTTAGTGTGTTTGTTTATAAAAGAAGCTTCATGATAAGATAGCTCTAGTTGCTTTTCTTCACTTACATGGTTCATAGTCTTTCTTTTCTATTGATGTGCTCTGGTGAATCACAAAGATACCCATGAATTTGTCAATCCCAATTTTGGCATTTGTAAGTTTTTCATTTTTGTTTGCCTTTTAATCAAGGCATTGAATGAAAACAGAGAGAATTCAGAGCTAAAGTAAGCCTTTTTATTTTTTGTCAAAACAGATAAAAACCCTTTGCCTTTTGGGTCGTTTAATTGCTATATGATGCATCAAATCTTGTAAACAGAAGTAATTCCTAGAAACTGGAAGCATTTTTGCATGACAATGGCCGTTGATTCACAAAGTAGGAAACGGCTTGTTTCCTCTGCTGAACCATTGACATGTAAATGTAAATGTTATTAATATTTTGAGTGAAAGATTGATTCAAACAATGGTTGTTGATTATGCAGTCTAATGTCAAAATATTAGGCTAAATATATAAGTAGGAATTTGGGCATATACTCACTTGACAATTGGCTTAGAATTCGGTATAGTGTTCAGATAAATCATAGAGGTAACCGTCTGCAAATCGTTCACATGGATTGCTCAATTGTTCATCTTTTTACCAAGAAAAAGTAAGTGGAAATGTGAAATATAAAATAACTATCTTTTTCAACTCATCTATGTCTTTGCCAGACTTCTTGATGATTATATTTGCAAAAAAACATAAAAACTTCGAGGATCAAAGGAGATTGTTGGTCAATAATTGAGTTTCTAACTATATTAAGGTTTTATGTATTAAGTCATGATTCATATTAAGGTAGTTATTTGTCAAGAGGCACAAGTAGGAAGAGACACAACTCATTGTGTTGTAGTGTCTGTTTCTTTTATATTTAAACTCATTTTCTCGTCATGTAAATAGCAACAAGTTTCAGTTTTCATAATTATGATCCTCTCTCTTTCGTCAAGTCTCTCTGTCTTTTAATTATCAAAGTTCTTCAATAAACCAACAGAGATGACATGTTAGCTCTTCTTCTTCTCTTACATTCAATTCTTAATTAGAATCGTTTATATTCTCTTCTCCATATCGTCAACTAACATTCATGCCATTGTTCTATGAGATTTAGTCGCTGGCATCATTTCATATATATGCAATAGTATGTAGAGGCACACAGATAAAGGATTGATCAGCTAAAGATCGATCATTAGAAAAATCAAAGACATAAAGAGCATCATATAAAACAAATGTAATCGAAAGGGAAAAAGAAAAACAAAGAAAACATTGATAAGCATTGACCGATGAAGGCACTTCACAAAAACATGAGATTCTCTATGTGATTTGACACGCTTCTTCTTCTCTTATCCGTATCGTCGTCAACTAACATTCATTCCATTGTTATTTATTCAGCTAGCAACTAACATAAAAAAATCAAAGACATATAGAGAATCATATCAAAAGAAAGTGTAATTGAAAGGGAAAATATTCATAAGCATTGAATGATGAAAACGCTACTTCAAAAAGACATGAGACTCTCGATGTGATTTGGGTAAACCTTTATGCTGTTAATATAGTCTTTACTAAATCCATAGCGGCTTCAAAATTCATCACCCACAATTCCTTCAAACGAGACTTCTCTAATACTGTTTCTCCTCGGATCGAAATATAGAATATTAAACGATTCAGACAACATCCATGGTGCAAAAAAAAGCTCACCAGCATTACTAACACCACAAAAGCGTGGCTCTTTGCGTCGTATTGGGTCCATTTCAGAAAGAGGCAAATCAAAGCAATTATGCGTCCATTCGTGTCTATCTCCATTCGTCAAAATCCATATATCAATAGAAGGGAAGTTAAGAGTCTCAACTAAGGCTAACCTTCCCTCATAAGTTACCATATGATAATTCGCACTAGAACGACCCTCTGGAAATTTTATCTGGTTGAACTTTTCAGTTCTAACATCTAAGCACATTATATTGTGTTCTAATAAACCATCCCCAACATCAACTGTTGCTCCATAGTACATGACTCCATTAATACATTCCCCACAACGTATAATAGATCGATGCCTAGGGACACCGTTGGTTATTATTCTACATGATGTTTTTCCTTGAGCTCCCAATGTAAGAATGCAAATCTTCGAGTCTCTAAGAACGCGTAGTACTATGTATTTTCCATCAATCTGATCATATCCCAAAATCCCTCCTAGGTAGTTGCTATTATTGTCTTTGGTCCCTTCAGGTTCAGGTAAAGTGAGGAACCGATTGACGGTAGGGTTCCAAATCACGAGCTGTTTAGTACCTTGCAATAAAATCAAGCCGCGCAAGTAATCAAAACGACGGTAGCAACCATAATTCGGTTTGTATGTTGGTAACTTCCCACGCAAGTAACAGGACTATTCTTGTGTAGCGAGAAAACGAACAGAATGTTGCCTATATAGAAGGCTAGCAGTACAGAAGGCCGCGATGCCAAGGACCGAGTTGGAAAGGAGTTGATGAAATCTTGACTGGTGGTGATCGCCGACCAGAGCTTAGAGACGGAGCGAAATCTCCCAACCGATTTAGCAGGAAGTCTTGAGAGTATCTCAGTGGTTAAGTCCACAGGAATATGGTCTGATTGAGATGAATCATTATCATGTAAGGATCTTGCCGATGAAGATTGTGTTCTTCTCTGGATTTTTCCCGTCTTCTCTTCTGTTGGGGTCGGATTTCACCCATCCTTTGAGACCGAGCCAAACTTCAACACCTCGGGTTATCCTGATAGTCAGCTCGGGTACCCTGCCAGTCAATCTGCTAGTCAGCTCGGGTACCCTGCCAGTCAATCTGCCAGTCAGCTCGGGTACCCTGCCAGTCAGTCTACCAGTCAGCTCGGGTACCCTGCCAGTCAATCTGCCAGTCAGCTCGGGTACCCTGCCAGTCAGTCTACCAGTCAGCTCGGGTATCTTGCCAGTCAGTCTGCCAGTCAGCTCGGGTACCCTGCCAGTCAGTCTGCCAGTCAGCTCGGGTACCCTGCCAGTCAGTCTGCCAGTCAGCTCGGGTACCCTGCCAGTCAGTCTGCCAGTCAGCTCGGGTACCCTGCCAGTCAGTCTGCCAGTCAGCTCGGGTACCCTGCCAGTCAGTCTGCCAGTCAGCTCGGGTACCCTGCCAGTCAGTCTGCCAGTCAGCTCGAGTACCCTGCCAGTCAGTCTACCAGTCAGCTCGGGTACCCTGCAAGTCAGTCTGCCAGTCAGCTCGGGTACCCTGCCAGTCAGTCTGCCAGTCAGCTCGGGTACCCTGCCAGTCAGTCTGCCAGTCAGCTCGGGTACCCTGCCAGTCAGTCTGCCAGTCAGCTCGGGTACCCTGCAAGTCAGTCTGCCAGTCAGCTCGGGTACCCTGCCAGTCAATCTGCCAGTTAGCTCGGGGTACACAGTCAGCTCGGGGTACACTGCCGAGCCTTATACTACAGTTACCCCGAGGCAAAGTCTCAGTGCTACCCGAGGTAAAATGTGTATTGTTCCCGAGGCGAAGTCTGCAAAGTCACCCGAGGCGAAGTCTTCAGTGTCACCCGAGGCAAAGTCTACAGACTGACCCGAGGCGAAATCTGCAAAGTCACCCGAGGCGAAGTCTTCAGTGTCACCCGAGGTGAAGTCATCAGAGTCACCCGAGGTGAAGTGTTCAGAGTCACCCGAGACAAAGACTTGGTTAAAAATTCACTTCCATAGAATCACTTCCGAATAGAACGGCATCATTTCCGAAAAAGAGGGATCATTTTCGAAATGCCCGGAAATGATAAGGGAGAATCTCGAAGAATCAACTCAAATCAGGAAAACTTCCGAAAACCCCAAAGAATAAGGAAACTATCCTAATCCGCGATATTCTAAGCGGACTTCAAGATAAATGGAAATCTTCCGAGAATATCGCTAGAGAGACGGTTTACCATCCCTATATAAGAAGACTCAAGGCTCTCACAGAAGGGAAAGGAATATCGCTCTAGAATTTACACTACGCAAAGCTCTCACAGCACAAACATCTTTTCTTTTACGATCAAACTCTTGTACGATCAAAACAACTCTTTTCCTAAATTACAATTGATTCTGTTGTTCTTTGAGAATTCACATTTATCGTATCCCTAAATTAAAACTCTAGACAAATCTCGATTGTGTTAGTTTCGACTTCCACAGTTTGGCGCCGTCTGTGGGGATTACTTTAGAATTCTCTTACCCTAAGACGCAGAACTCGATTACCGAAAAGGACGATGAACAAAGACGGTCGTCAGACACCACCAGCTGGAGGAGGGAACCCGAACCCTCCGAACCCTCAGAATCCTCAAGCCGATCCGACGATCATAGCGACTCTAGCCGAACTGAAAGACCTGATGGTTAAATTCCGGAAGAAAGCTGACGACCAAGAGAAAGCTAACAAAACCTTGGCGCAGCGAGTCGACGAAATCGCAACACGTGGGCAACAAAAAACCACGCGTTTCCAGACTCGGCCGCCACGAGCTCGGAGGGACTTGCCTGGCATCAACCCAACAAGACTCACGTTTGCGACGCCAACCGACAACACCAAAGTCGCAACCCGAGCCGACCCTGCCAGACGCGAGAACCAAGATGATCCCACCGAGCCAGACGCAGTGGACTTGACGGACGAGCCAGATGATCTGCAAGATGAGCGTACACGAGCCAGAGCTAACTCCGCCGAGCGAACAGATCTCACTGACGATGAAGAAACTGAGGAGAACATAAGATGGGCCGAAGAATCCGAAAGGGAGGACGAGCTCAGCAAGATCCGAGCCTCCCTAGCTAAGGCGGAAGCTGATATGAAGCTCGTCAAAACCCAGATACATAGCGTTTCATCCTCTGCACCAAACATCGACCGAATTTTAGAAGAATCTCGGAATACGCCCTTCACCAAAAGAATTTCCGAAACGACGATGTCCAATCTGGGGAAGTTCAAAATCGACTCCTACAACGGGTCAACCGACCCGAAGTGTCACATTAAATCTTTCGTGATATCCGTAGCCCGAGCCAGGTTCAAGCCCGGGGAGAAGAATGCAGGTCTATGCTTGCTGTTCGTGGAACACCTCAAAGGACCCGCATTAGAGTGGTTTTCTAGATTGGAACGAAACTCGATTGACAGTTTCGACGAGCTGTCGACATTATTCCTCAAATAATACTCTGTCCTCATCGACCTCGGAACCTCCGACGCGGATCTGTGGTCCCTATCTCAACAGCCCGCCGAACCGTTGAGAGATTTCCTCACAACCTTCAAATCGACGCTAGCCAAGTTCGAAGGAATTACAGATGTAGCCGCTCTTTCGGCTTTGAAGAAAGCTCTCTGGTACAAGTCAGAATTCAGGAAAGAGTTGAACCTGTCTAAACCGACAACAATTCGCGACGCGCTGCATCGAGCCTCGGATTTCGTCGCCCACGAATAAGAGATGGCGCTGCTAGCAAAGAGGCATGAGCCAACGAAACAGGCGCCCCGAGCCGAGAAAACCGAGAAAGCCCAAACAGGGCCGCAGAGCCAGAAGAAGCCGGATCAGAGTGAAACGTACACGCACCACGAGGGGAACGTTTTCTCAAGAGCCCACAACTATCAAGACGACGTAGGCCGTGGGCGAGGAAGAGATTCATTCACTTGGACAAGATGTCAACCCCCAGGCGACGAAAAAGAATACTGCGAGCATCACAAGACCATCGGGCATCACACTTCCAGATGCAGGAGTCTCGGAGCAATATTAGCGGCCAAATTTCTAGCCGGAGAGCTTGGGACGAACATAACCCTCAAAGACCTACAGCCAGAACAAGTTCAGCCCGAACAGGTGGACACAGCAAGGGGTCCCGAGCCAAGGGAGCCAGAGGCTCCGAAGAGAACCCGGAGAACACCCGACGAGGAGCGTGACGAAACACGACAAAGAATCCACACGATAATGGGAGGATCAGCGTTTTTCCCCGATACCGTAGCCGCGATCAAAGCCTATCAGAGACGAGCCGAAGCACCCAGCAACTGGTTAAGGCCATTCGACCAACCTAACGATGTAATCATGTTCGAAGAAAGTGAGACAAATGGGCTCGACATGCCTCATAACGACCCTCTGGTCATCACGCTTGCCATCGGAGATCACGACGTATCAAGGGTGTTGATCGACACCGGCAGCACTATTGACGTAATTTTCCGCGAGACGCTTCGGCAAATGAACATCAGCATGTCGCAAGTAAACCAGACTCCTAGGCCAGTACTTGGATTCTCTGGAGAAACCCTAATGACACTCGGAACTATTCAGATGCCAGTTCAGGCCAGTGGAATAACGAAGATAGATGATTTTTCTGTCACAGATCAGCTGACCATCTACAACGCCATTATGGGCACCCCATGGTTAAACCTAATGCGAGCTGTCTCCTCGACATACCATCTCTGCTTGAAATTCCCGACGCCTAACGATGTGAAAACGATATGGGGAAGCCAAAAGAATTCCAGGATGTGCTTCATGGCAGCACATAAACTTCGAAACATCGTCGCCGAATCTAAAGTCGAGGTCAATCATAAAAAGGCGAAGATTGGCCGAAGCAAGGAGAAGTACCTTGCAGAAAAGAAGGCGGCCGTAGAGAAGAAAGCTCTGGAGGCCATTCTCGGAACTCTTGCTCCTCCCAAAGCGACCGATGAGCCTGAGGTGGAGATGACGAATCCTAACCCCACTGCCGTCACAACTGGTCCCGAGGAAGCCGAGACTATCCCAGTTGTGGAAACACCTCCGGAAATACTACCGCTAAAAATCTAAGGTACGCATAAGCTTGAACTACGGGGTGGCTTGATCCCCGAAAAGGGTACGAAGGCAGCTCGTCCTCGGACGAGTTCAGCTACCTCCCCTTATCAAAAAAGGGGGGGGAGAGTGGGGTCCGTATATCCATACTCCCACTCAAACTTTATCAATTATACGTTTCATATACTCCTATTCAAATTTTATCAAACTATATTTCTAAGTATACACTTCGGGTTTTTATCCGATCAAATCCACCTCGGTCTTTACCCCGAAACTCGCCTCGGGAAATCAACACGGTCTAAACTCCGTTCGGTTCGTTTGGGCGATGGCCACGCCCGCGAACTAAATTCATCTACACCTCCACGGTTACAGCGCGCTATATAAGCATTCGAGACAATCTGGTCGAAGATATCCGACCAAAGATGAAATTGTCTTCAGAAACCCCAGTAAAATCTTAACACTGGTGCCCCAGTTCGCTTCTAAGCACTGGTTATCGATTGAATCGAATCGGGTCGCGACCGTGAACGTTCAAATCTTTCTGCTAAAACCCAGTTTATCTTAACACTGGTACCTATCTTTCGCTCCGGCTACTAAAACCCAGTTTATCTTAACACTGGTATCTATCTTTCGCTCCGGCAACATAATACTTAGGACAAAAAGATGTTTCGATACGGAAACTATTCAAAATCATTGTATTCTCTTCGAAGACAAGGATCTTTGAAAATAGCGTTTGTATTTACTTTGCAAAAATACAACGACAAAGTCATCCATGCACAATCTTACACTACAACCAAAAAAGAAGAAAAAGGACGGTTCTAAGAGTGCCGCCTCAGGTTCACTGGCGACTCGAAGCAGAAGTTAACAGCTCGGTCTGCTCGTTCATGAAGCTCGTTACACTTGATCCCTAAGTCGGTGACACCTACTTCAACTGCGTTGCCTTTAATCGA